CAGGTCTCAATCGCTGGGCCTATTGAAGGGGTGGAAGAAGCCCGGAGGATGATAAGAGTGAGTGATCAATCTGAGCAGGGACTTTATTTGTCTCAACACTCAATTCATCACACCTGTTAGACTCAAAGATCAATACAGAGATCAATGACATGACAGGCACCAAAACATACTGCTTCATTTGTCAGAATGCACCTGCTGTCATCTCCTTCTTTTTATTTTCATTGCACTTTTAGGACCTCCAGCCACTGTCGCTGACCTTTGACCTGCCAGTCAGCTTGGTGACCCAGGCGTTGCCAGATGCAGGCTCCCCACTCATCCAGCAGGTGGTGCAGACTCTGGGGGTCAATGTAAGCTTCAAGGCCGTGCCTCCCCTGCCTCAAGCTCAACCCTCCTTTTACGTGAGCTCCTGCACAGTCTGGGGGCTGCAGGGCAACACAGCCGCTGTCAAGGTTAGCATAACTGGATTCATACGTTCACTTAAATTCTAGCCTAGCTATCCTGCACCATGCTATAACTAGTATGTTTACATCACCACCTGACAGAAGGCGACCTGCATCCTGATGGAGCTCCTGCTTGGGTCCGAATCTACAGGCGTGGTGAACAGCCAGCTGGAATTCACAGCTCAGCAGCATCTCTTCATGCTGGGACAGAATGGTCCACACTACCTGAGTGTCATGCACAAGACCCAGGCCCAGATCATCCTACCAGACCTCAGTGCTCCTCAGAATCCCCTTTCACTTATCATCCAGGGCAGCCCTGAGGGGGTGTGTCTGGCTCGGCAGCAGCTCATGGTACGTTAAAACATTGCATGAGATAAAAGGCATTTCTAACACAACGTTCTCTGACTATACCGTAGCCATGGTTTATCTGCTATATCTCTTTATTCGTCTATAAAACTGTATTATGTCATCTTTTTCCCCCATTCCCTGTTTGAAATGTGCACACAACATCTAGGAATGTCTGCCAGTGTGTTTGACGTTTGACATGCGTGAAGACGGGGAGGTAGATCCTTGCAAACTGGCGCAGATGAGGCAAAACCTAGAAGTCTTCATTAGCATCAAACCCAAAGCAAAACAGATCAGCAAGGTGAATGTTACTCACATGGATCTACAATACTTTTATAGCAGGCTATTGCAAAGAAAATATATAAAAGAAACAACGAAAAATGTTTTGTTCGCTGTCGATCCGATCTACTTATATTTGCAATTCATATTCAGCTCAAGCCCAGACATAGGAGTTCAAATTTGCCTATGACACAGGGTTGGATATACTATATATATATATATATATACTATATATATATATATATATATACATATATATATACTATATATATATATATATATGTCATTTTATATTTGGATGAAAGTTACTCCATGTGCTACAGTGGGTTGAATACTAATAGAAAAATATTTGTTGATGTATATTTATCAGTCTGTAGTGGTGAAGGGTTTGGAAAGGAACATCTCCTGCCTTTATGAGGCCCGTCGTCTCCTCCTGGGACTTGATGTCAGTGAGACTGCCAAGATATCGTCACTGAGCTCTGACCTCACGACATCCGGCACTGGGTTGACCAGCTACTGGCTCAACATGTTGCTGCAGCAGCTCCGTCTCTCTGAACAGGGTGAGCTTGAAAAGATTTAGACGACTCAGTTGTGGAGCTTTAAAAACACAACTTTCTCCACCTTTTTTCACGTGTCGATTGAGAGTGTCTTACTGAAAGAGATATGCTGCAGTGAATATTTGAAAGAGGATTGTAATGAAGGTTAAAGGTCAATGTAACGTATTTATTATGAAAACTGGTATTACCATAAAATTCAAAGTTCTGCTAAGAAGAAAAAATCCTCACAATAAAACCAAAGCTTAATAAACTATTAATGAAGCAGAACTGAGCGAGCAATGAAGGCCAGCTAGACACTGAGGAAACAATTACGTTTAAGAAAGTCAAAGGGCGCAAACAGTGATGGCTGAAGTAGTTGCAAGTGAGAGATCAGTAAACTGTGGAGACAAGAGGATCTCAAAAAAGACAGTACTGAAATCTCTGAGAAATGATAGAACTAAATTTATAAAGTAAAAAATACAGCAATTAAAACTTAAACAAGAAACAAATCTCTTTAAAACAACAATAAATCAAGCAGAAATGGTTTAAAAAACAAAACTTATAAATCGTAACAAGGCTGGCTGAGTTTATTTGTGTATTAGAATGATTTAAAGGATTTACTTGAAAATGAATGTTGGTTTTAACAAAGAGAAAATCCATCCATCCATCCATCCATCCATCCATCCATCCATCCATCCATCCATCCATCCATCCATCCATCCATCCATCCATCCATCCATCCATCCATCCATCCATCCATCCATCCATCCATCCATCCATCCATCCATCCATTTTCTATACCTTCTTCTTCCTTTTTTGGGTCACGGGGGTCACTGGTGCCTGTATGCAGTCACTGTGCGAGAGGTGGGGGACACACTTGATAGGTCACAAGTCCATCACAGACAAAGAGAAAATGTTTTACAATTAAAAAAAAAAATTATACAGTAAAAGTCCTTAAAGCCAGTAATAGTCTTCACTTTACCGTCTTGATTTGTTTGGTCAAAGACAATTTCTACATGTTGGATTTTGTGATGATAGAAAGCTGAAAATTAATTAATTAATTAATTCTTATTACATTAATAAGACAAATCTCACATGTAAACCTGGTTTTCCCACCTGTTTTCTACACATTATGTTTATAATAATAATAATAATAATAATAATAATAATAATAATAATAATAATAATGAAAACAACATTTTCAAGGGCCATTTAAGCCTATTGACGTACTTTTTCATCCTTCCATCCTTCTCTTTTTCTTGTTCTGGAGTTGGATCTTTGGTGCTGCAGCTTGAGCCGGGAGGCCCAAACATCTCTTTTTACAGCCACCTCTTTATTTCAAATTATCATTATTTTTTAAATGGATATGCAAGAAAGAGCCATAAAACAGAAAGCTTGTGAATGCTTTCCCCTAGAAAAAACAAACAAAGAAACAAACAAGCCCATGAATTTATCATGTTTTTTTTTACATGGGATCACAAGTGGGAATGTGAAAATATGAGATCACACTGACCTGCGGAAAATAGTTTAAAACCAAACAAGAAACTTGTGCAAAACATGTGCTTCACTTTTTAATTTTAAACGTTTTTAAGGGTAAATGATTATGTTTTTAGTTGATTTGATTGTCTACATGGTAATGTATATATATTTATGTATAATATTCCAAATGGACCTGTGCAAAATATGTTTTTCATACTTGTTTTATGTGTTAATTTAACATTTGTACTTGTGAGCTTCATACAACATTTCGTATAGGTTAACATAAAAAAAATTGGACTTTTTAACATTAAAAATATATTTTTGGCTAAGACAAACCTGCTTACCGTATATTTAATATCTCCTCTTCCTGACCAGACTCTGCACCTCCTCTAATGGAGATGCTGACTGGTGTCAAGCTTCACCCCTCGCCTCCTCCAGGCCTCACTTCTCCTCCTGAGGAGGTGAGGACAGGACTGAACAGAACAGACATCCGGCCGCTGGAGAAGGTGCTTCACTGTCAACGTTCAGAATGAAACCAGAAAATAAGAATGAAAACACATAAAACCCCAAACTGGTTTCTGCTCTTTTCCTCAGATCCTTGAAAACGAGTATCAGTCTGGCCAATCAGAGGACGAGAGCTCTGAGGGTGTGGTGATGTCACCATCTGAGGTGAACGACTGCGTCATCAATATGGGGCTGATCAGTCGGAGGGGGAGTCTCCAAGGTCCAGAAATGTCTAAGCTCCTCAGTCAGGGCAGACGTCACTCGACAGGACAAGCGCTAATGGACAGGTGAACAGTCACACACATTGAGATCATTTCTGCTATAAACGCTCCTCACTAATTAAAAAGGAACAAGTTAAATAAACTGGACGTTCAATCAACCCAAGAAGCGGAGTCATAAAATCATGATTAAATGGTTATGGAGACCAAAATGCTGCATCCAGATGGACGCTGAGTCATCTTTTTCCCACTGAAGCCTGATTAATTAAAACAAACTTACACACATGTTAAATCTGTTACAAATCTCACAAACACATAAGCCACATTTTGCAAACCTCACCACTTCATCTTTGGTTTTTATTGTGCACATTTGTGGCTCTCTAAACAAAAAGCCGTGTGCATTTTTCGTAAAGCAACTTTTTAACACACGTGATCATAAATCATCACGGTGCTGTCTTTACATCTTCCTGTATGATTTATATTTTCTCAGTAATTGCAATTTTAACAGGCCCGTAGGTGTTTTTTTGAATGCTCTTGCTTTTTCTCCAAACCTTGTGCGTTTCCTGAACGGGCCAGGATGCTGAACACAGAGGCCGAGGGAGGGAGGAGTGCGTGGAGGAACAGCATGAGGAGAGATCTGGTGCAAAACCTTCATGCTGATTCATCCAAGGTGGAGGTGAGAACGAGCAGGCCTGTTTTTCTTTTGACTGTTTTCGACAATGGTTCAGATGAGTGGTTCTCAGCTGACAGACTCTGAGCAAATCTTCCTCAGCCCAGTGGCGCAGAGTATGAATGAGAAAAACGAGAGATGAGCTTCACTTTTGTTCTTTTTAATCTCAACAGAAGCCGAGGAGTCGGACTGAAAGTAGCATTTCATTCTTGCTGTTATGTAATGTATTGATTCACCCCCCTCCCCCAACGCCGTGGGATTTCATTTTGACAATCGACTTTTGTGTTTTGTTTCCTTCCGTTCTTGTTTGTCATTTCTCCTTCGAAGGCTACGGCACGGTGGATTAACAAGTTTACTGCCACAGCAGCAGCGTTGTTTCATGCAGGTGTTTGCTCCTGCTTTGTTTATCCAGGGAGACCCAAAGGGGGCGGAAATCAATTTAATCTATTATTTACGTTTTCTATTTGCTGTTTGTACTTTGTAGGATTATGACTATGAGAAGAAGAAACTGCTGGCCACCCGAGGTTAGTGCTCCTAAATGTTGACTATTTCTTGTCGTGCCTTGGTTTTGGATAACTGGTTATTAATAGTTATGATTAGGCCTGTCGCGATAAACAATAAATCAATTAATTGCACGATGAATGAAAATTATCTACCTCATTTTCATTTACCGGCTTTATCGTTTCTTCATGTCTCTCTCTCTTTCTACTGAAGACACTGGATGACAAAAGGCTCAACTCCAGTGCTCTTCACTGACCCCTCCCTTTCTCTTTTCTTTAAAATCTGTTTTAACCGTCCAAAATTGCGTTTTTGGATCATTAAAAGCAGCTAAGCTGAGAAGCTAAGCTACAAGCTAAGCTAACAAGCCAACCTCAGGAATAAACCTCAGTCTTGTCGAGCTCCAAAAATTCAGGGTTGAAACCCGTGCCATCATGTAAAAAGTCGTTTTTCTCTGCAAAATGAAACAGAGAACTTGTTTACTGATTTTTTTAAATTAAATATTTTGTGTGAAAAACGCTATGCTGAAAAGCTCAAATCACTGTGTCCGTCATGTCACCATACCAGCTAATGTCACGTCAAGGGCCTTCCCTCCCATTTTTCTTAAAGACAAGCTGCATCCTTTGGTTCAAACAGTCTTATACTGCCATCAGGTGGTCAAAAAAGGTACTACACTCCAAACAAAACATTTCTTTTAAAATTTGGCAATTAATTAATGTTAAATTTCAAACAATATTATCGTTTATCGCAATAATTTCTGAGACAATTAATCGCCCAGCAAAATTTATTATCGTGACAGGCCTAGTTATGATGACAATAAAACATCAGTTATGGTAGCTATCATAATATATTGTGGGCCATGATTTGGCAGTAAGCTTGGTTGTACTGGTTCTTTAAAACCAAAAAGTGTTTTTTGAAGCAAACTGTAAACTGCCTCCAAACTAAAAAAAAAGAAAATCAGGTTTGTTGCCATTATAAACATTTTAAATATAGCATTTCTTGAAAAGAAATACTTTGTACCATTCAATAGTAAAGTTAAACTATTGTTATAATATAATATTTCCTTATGTATTATTTATGTAGTATTGTACTATAACAAGAATTGCATTCATGATAATTGGATCCAAACCTGGATCCAAATGAGATTTGGATTCGTTTTTTAATTCCCTGATGAGTTCTGTTTTGAATTGATGTCAAATACACATAAATAATTGAACAGGATTACTAAAAGTAGCACGCTGGTCTTTTAAAGTGTGGTTCTCAAAAGTTATGAACAACTAATATATGATGGTCCCTGAAAAGAAAATTCATTCCATCCATCCATCCATCCATCCATCCATCCATCCATCCATCCATCCATCATCTTTACCTGCTTTTTCCTTTGCAGAGGTGACAGGGCCTTCTCTGTAGCAGGACCAAGACTCTGGAACGAGTTACCTCTGCTTGTCAGACAGGCCCCCTCCCTCTCGGTTTTCAAGTCCCATTTAAAAACCCACTACTATTCAGTAGCTTTCAACACCAGTTGATCTTTGTTTTGAACCTGTATGCTCCACACTGGTTAGTCGTCATTATCTGCATCGTTTTTATGTCTATATTCTGATTTACCTCATTTTGTATTTTGCTTTGTGTGTTACCTGTTGTTCTGTCTGTACAGCACTTTGGTTGGCCTTGTTGCTGTTTCAAGTGCTCTATAAATAAAATGGCATGGTATCTGGAGACTTATAAAGTTAAAAAACAACAACAACAACAACAACAACAACAAAGACTTTGATAATAAGAAAAAGGAGAAAACATATGATTACATATAATTTTTCGTCAGTACCATTTACTGACATGTGTCCTTTAATAATTACAAATTACCAAAAAAAAAAAAAAAAAAAAATTGTCAGAACTTTATAAAGCATTAACAGTCCTTTAAAAATCAGTTATAAAACAATTTTCACAGGTTAAAGCAGAATCAGTTTGAACAAGATCAAGTTATGTATTTTAATTATTCAGGATTTAACCAAATAACTTTTTATGCTTAAACACACATTTTATCTACAATCCTATACATAGAGCTTACACTTCTGATAAACACTTTGATATTTAAAGTTTTAATTATGAAGAAAAAAAAAAAAAAAAAACCTGCCAAATTGTGAACCTGCTTGATTGTGTGAACAGGGTTTTATAACTGTTGTTAATGTTTTATAAAGTTTTTACAAACTCACAAATAATCTATTAATAAGGCATTGACAAATCCTTCACAACAAGCTCCTTATTAATCTTCTATACTGATATATTGACAATCCATCCATTATCTTTTTCCCGCTTCTTACTTTTCGGGTCACGGGGGTCACTGGTGCCCATATCCAGCTATCACTGTGTGCGAGGTGGGGGACACCCTGGACAGGTCTCCAGTCCATTACAGGGACACATGGAGACAAACAAGACAATTACACTCCCCCTCACACTTTTAGGGACAATTTAGAGTTATGCTATGTGCAACAGGTAAGATATTTACTGATTACAACTTCTCCACAGATCTTCACTTATTAGATCTGAACAATCCCTTTAGGTAAGCAGTATAACAAAACATTCTGCAGTTTATTCAAGAATAATACAGTACCACCAACCCACTGATATCTGAGGCAGGGATTTGATAGAGTAGGTTCATTTCAGTGCTGCTCTCTGCCCAGACAAATGATGGAGGGGACCTGCTTATGGTCTACTTTGTGCCAACGCTATATTGGAAAGGCACTAGCACTCCCACCTAATTCACACTGGGCAGATACACAATGCAGACACAGTGCACATAGGTCCAGTCACCCCCACATGTGCAAAAAGACACATAGTAACTGCTGCCTCATCCATCATGCTGAATGAGAAATACCAAGGAGACCTGCAGCCAAATGCTATCAATTCCCTCAGTGTTGTTTTATGGGATTATGAATTAGCAGTTTGAATGGGCCATCTGCCTCACAGTCATTAAGAGGCCCATATGCCAGTATATGAATAGGGAATTTGCTCACATGTGCACACACATGCACACACGAATAAAAATCCCTCTAGTAATAATCCTGTTGATTTTGCACTTTGTGAGAAATGCTGTTGCATTTAGATCACACAGTCATGGAGGAGACCCAAGGTTTGGAACTGGTGTGAGTCTTAGTTTGAGTTTTATAAAATAAGGACACATGCCAACAGAAATTAACACAGTGCTTCATTATTTAACAGATGAACCCAGCTTAGGTCATTCTGAATCCCAAAGAGGATGTGAATAACCTACTAAGCACTTTCATGACCGATATGAATACTAATAATATCAATGTGTGCATTTTTATACAGCTGCACACATTTCTGCATGTTTCACCACATTCTTCCTATTTCTATTGCAATAAATACTGTATCTTTAAAAACACACAGCAAATGTGCACCGTATGTTAGTTTAAACATCACTGAATGATTTAAAATATACTAAACTACCAGATGAACTCATATTTGCTGTCATGTTGCGCTTTAAACCAGTTAGTCTACATATTTTCATCTTTATGTTTCTTTTGTTGTGGCGTTGTCAGCCATGCAAAGGAAGCCTGTGGTCACTGAGGTCCGGACTCCCACAGACACCTGGAGTGGTCTTGGCTTCTCTAAGTCGATGCCAGCTGAGGCGGTCAAGGAGCTTCGCAACATCAGCCGGCGCAGCTACAAACCTTACCTGAACACCAACAACAACCAGCAGCAGGTAGAAATTAATCAAATGCTAAATATGATAAACGGGGACATTTACAAACTGTAATTTTGGTAAATTGGAGCAACTTTATTAGTTGTTACACAATAAATTGTCCTAAAGCACGCTGATGTGTCATTTGAACATTTTTTTTGTTCCGGCATGCATTTGGTGCAGCCGTATTTTGAAAAGATTCCACTAAGTCACCACATTAAAATCCAAACATGTTCAGTCCTTTGTGCCAGGATCTTACACTGATGCCAGGAAAATTGGGCCCCTTGCTTAAATTATTCTCCAGCACAGCCTAAATAGACTCAACAAGATTAAGGTCTGGACTCTGAAGGCCATCAAGAAAAAAAAAAAAACCCTGACAATTCAGAATATTAACCTTCCTCGTGTCCTTGGATCAAAATGACTACAGATGCCTCGATTTTAAAACTGCCTGAGTCTTTAAGGGCAGCAGGAAGTTAGTTATTTAGTCTATTTTTACTGCCCACCACCAGAAGGTATGCAATGTTGATTATGCCCATGTCTGTATGTGTGTACTTGTGTACATTTGACTGTTTGTTAGCAAATAACTCTTGAACAACCAGATCGATTTTAATAAGACTCTTAAAATAATCATTGGATGAGCAGCTACAACTGAAGACCTTTTATAGACAAGCTGGTTCAAGTTGGCCAGCAAGGCATAGCAACCACAGAAAACACAAAGAACGTCTACAGTTCACTCAGTTTTGTAGATTTGAGCTAAAATGCGTCATGGTTGTAGCTGAAAGTCCCCCACATCACCAGGGGCGATTCTAGAATCTGACCTTTAGGGGTGCTTAGCCCCCAGTGCTGACAATCAGTCAGAGTCAGAGTCAGAGTTTCTTTATTGTCATTCGCACCTCATGTGGTACATGTGGTGGAGCGAAATTATGTACACAGGGTCTCAGTTACATCCAACAATAAAATGTTTAAGAAAAACAGTAATAACATCTAAGATATGAACTAAGAAAAACATCAACTAAATATACACTAAGCACTCATAACATAAAACATTGAACATCAGCACAAACATGAACATGAGTCTGTGAGCAGATGTGCACGCATGAACACATCAACATTGAAACAGATCAGCAGCAACATGAAACAGATCAGCAGCAACATGAAACAGATCAGCAGCAACATGAAACAGATCAGCAGCAACATGATGTGGTTTTTCACAGTGATTATTCTAGTTAGAGATTCATGAGTCTAACAGCCTCAGGGTAGAAGCTGTTCCTCAGTCTAGTGGTTCTACACTTAATGCTCCTTAACCTCCTCCCTGAGGGGAGTGGGGCAAAAAGTGTGTGTGCTGGGTGAGTGGGGTCCTTCATGTTGCAGGTGGCCCTCTTCCTGCATCTGGAGGTGTAGATGTCTGTGATGGTGGGGAGACTGATTCCAACAGATTTCTGTGCAGCCTTCACCACTCTCTGCAAAGCTTTTCTTTCTGCAGCTGTGCAGCCTCCATGCCACACGTTGATGCTGGAGCACAGGATGCTCTCCACTGCACACCTGTAGAAGGAGGTGAGGACTGAGCTTCCCAGACCAGCTCGCCTCAGCCGTATGAGGAAGTAGAGTCTGATGAGCAATGGCTCTTGGCTTGAACAATGTGGTGGCCATTGGCATCAGAAGCATTCGTAATGTGGGGTGGGGGGTTGGGGGCACTGGTGGGGGGGTCTGGGGGTCCTCCCTCAGAAAATTTTGAATAAAGTAGATGCCATTTCCTGTATTCTGGTCTATTTTAAGGAGTTGTTAAACATCTAAGTTTACCTCCATAAGTAAACACTTTTTTTTAAAATTTACCCTTTATTTATCCAGGTAGTCTCATTGAGACTCGAGAACTCATTTTCAAGAAAGACCTGTTTAGGGAGATGGTGGGGGTTAAGGGCCTTGCTCAGGGGCCCAGGGTGGGGCGAATGAGGGTGGAGGCAGGTGTGGGTGTTTCACCTTTTCCACCCACATTTTGATGTTGACGGTACCGGGAGGTGAACCTGCGACTTTCCGATCACAAGCCCATCTTCTAACCTCTGCGCCACCACTCCCCCACTGAAACACTCGATTCAATAACATGAGAACTCGACACGAGAAGTAGCGCTAAGCTAGCGGCGTGCAACAGACGTTCTAGCAAAGATGCTACAGACGTAGCACTCTGCTTTACGTTACACAACCTGATAAACACTTTGTTCAAAATCATTTTAGTGTTAACTGATCATAACAAACAAAGACTAAACATCCATCCATCCATTATCTTTACCCGCTCCTTCCTTTTCAGGTTACGGGGGTCACTGGTGCCCATGTTCAGCTATGACTGTGTGAGGGGCGGGGTACACCCAGGACAGGTCTCCAGTCCATCACAGGAACACATAGAGACAAACAACCATTCACTCTCTCATTCACACCTTAGATTTACCAATCAGCCTAACATGCATGTTTTTGGTCTGTGGGAGGAAACCGGAGTACCCGGAGAAAACCCACACATGCACGGAGAGAACATGCAAACTCCACCCAGAAAGGCCCTGGGCTGGGATTTGAACTGGTGTTCTTCTCACTGAAAGGCGACAGCTCTACCAACTGCGCCACGGTGCTGCCAACTAAACTTATGCAACCAGAAATTGCAACATAGCTACAAAACACAAATGAAAGCACAACTAGTTTTAAGCATTAACATTTAATTTAACCATTAAGCATACAATGTAATTATGACAGAAAATGGAGGATTTACCTGCAGTTACCTTCGTACAGATGAACATGCAGTACCTCCTGTTTATTACTTGTATTCAGCTGCTCATGAGGTCGGCCACAGAGCTTTATCATCTTTCACATTTTTCCAGACTCGGTTTAGGTTTTGGAAATAGAATAAACTGTAAACTGTTCAAGGGGCCACAGTTACTGAAAGCCAACAGCTCAGGGGCGGGGCATCCAGCAGTTAAAGTCATTCTGTAAATTACAATGATCTGTTACCTTTTAAATTTGTTTATTTACATGCATACAGAAACAACCAAAAAAATAATAATTCTTTTGTACTTTATTTTTCAGGGGTGCTGAGTTAAAATTTAGGGGTGCTTGAGCACCCCCCCCATAAAGAGGCTAAAATTGCCACTGAATACTTTGAGCGTTAACAGATCACACAAACACTTTGTTTTAAAATGCAAAGCAGCGAGCAATTTGCATTCTTTTAGGAAATTCTAGTTTAATTGTTTTATGCTTTTACTAATATTCAGGTGAATTCTGATGGTAACCAATAACATTTTATTCTCCCAGTATCATGTATTCCTCAGGAATGATGGTTAACCTGTAGCCTAATAATGCATGAGCTCGTTTCTAACCACATTTTTGTAGTTACAACAAACTTCTTGACTTTATTGTTTGTTTGATGCATTTATCTCACACAAATTAGAATAATATATTTTTCACAACCTTTAGCTGCGTGCTCTGAGTTGGTTGTTTTATAAAAGGAGAAGCTACACGCTGTCTACTAACTCAAACAGAAAGTACTGTTCCAATGTTTAGGTTCAGACATCTGTTCAGCTAAATGTAGGAGGTGACCTTTCTTACAGCCAAACTGTGCAGTAGCTGATTGAGTTTTGTTGTGCATGCACTCGAGGTACATTTTTGTCTCACTTGTTTTCCTGCACTGCAGCATCATTTATTGCTACCACCCTCCCAACAGTTTGCAGCATTTATCTCTCTGCGTGGTAAGCGCTGCCAATTTGCACGCTCAATTACCCTGGATCCGATACCATCATCATGGTCAACACAGCAACATGTTTACCTGACCTGACTTCAGATAATCTTTCCAGCTCTTGAAAACATTTTTGGTGGCTGGTTCTCTAGCTGCTCAAGATTTCACATAAAAAAATGCACATGTGAGGCGTTTGTGAGCAGTTATCGCATTTGTCTTGCAGTATTGGAGAGACAAAATGACTTTGCTGACAAAAGCAGTCGGCAATGCTGCTGCTGTTTGAAATGTTTGTAACGAAAATAAATTGAATAACATTTCTTAAAATAAAAGAATGCAAATCCCTAATTTAGACCAAGCTCATCTTATTTTGAAAAATGTTGTAACCATTTTGGATGAACCATAAAATAACACTATGCACGTGGTATATCATATGTGAGATATTATGCTCAAAGTGTGTATTGAGTAGTACGACTCACAGCTACTACTGCATCAAACTACAGATCAATATATGTAAAATTGATAGAGTTATAGTAATTTTTGTATTGGCTAATGTGGACAAGCTGCGGTGACCATTTTTAATTGTATTGACTCCAGAAGTTAATCAGTGATAGATGAAGATCAAATAAGTACTTTATGAAAGTTTCATTCAAATGTATTAACTGGTATGTGAGGTATTTTTCTAACAGACAAATAGAATTTAATTGTAACAGTTAATGACAAAATCTAAAGTAACATTGTGTTCAGTCTTTTAGTACCTAAACTATATAAGGATGAGTTTGAGCTCCAGTTTCGTCAAATTTCATGTCATTATCTGTAGAAATGACCAAGTTACTGTATAACAGTTTTTGTCCTTTTTAATTTTTTATTGATAATAAACAGAAGGGACACTAACTGTGTTGCTGTTTCTTTCACTGTCTCCATTTATTCCTGGGCTGCTCAGACAAGAAACGTGTGTAACGGCAGCAACTCTGAAAACTGGAGGGACAGACCTGGATCCATATCCCATCCTGCATCTTCTTCCTCCCCCTCTTCCTCCTCTCCATCCTCCCCCTCCTCCCCTACCTTCTCCCCATCCACCGCCTCCTTGCCTGCATTCACAACCTCGCTGAGCAGAAGCAGAAACGTCAAATCTTGTAAGCTGTACCTGCTTTTAAAGCAAAACAAAACCAAAGGGATCGTTTCCCCTCGCCGACTGCTTTCCTTTAACCCCTGACCTTTGACCCTCAGCTGAAAGCTTTGTCAGCAGCAGCTTTGAGGGCTTGTGCTCAACGAGGAGGGCGTCGACCTGCAGTCAGCGGAGCCCCTCCCCCCTTATGACTGACGACCTGCCTGAGCTTCTCAGCCAACTCCGACTGATCAAATACATTGATGTGTTCGAGCAACAAGAGGTAAAACGTGCAGAGGCAAACTCTTCTGAGTCAACTCATCATTTTACCAAGAAAAAAAAAAAATCACTCTTATTCTCATTGAAATTTCAGGTGAAAGGGTTGTTTAAAGTACAATTTCTATAGGGGTTACAGTATTTCAATTCATTATTGCAATTGCAAATTGTAATTTTAAATCATTGAACTTTTAAAATGAGCAAAACATGTTTTAGAACGAGCAAACTATGCTTTCTGTATAATTCACTAATTGTTCTGTACAGTAGTCCCTCGTTTATTTCGAATGTTTGGTTACAAACCCCCCCGCAATAATGTTATATTTACATTAGTATTTATATATACTTTAAGGCTTAAGAAAGTTCTCACACTCTTGCAATGTTCTAAACTCTTAAACCTACATCATTGTAACAACATACGTACAGTACTGTACATGTAGCTACTAAATTTTACTCACCAGCTCTGCAGAACAGGAGCGGCTCGCAGTTCCGGCCTGACTGTTCTGGTCCCACTCGTTTAGTTTCTGCAGACGTAACCTGCAGTGACAAAGCCCACAATCAATGTTGTCAACTCTTAAAACTACTAATTTTAACAACATACTTATATGTAGCTAATAAATCTTACTTACCAGCGCATCCCCACTCGGAGGTCTGCGTGGGCCAGTTAAGAGCTCTTGGGTTCACCACTGAGTCTGGGGGTCCGGTTCTGGTCTGGTTCAGTACAGCTCTTGAACACCGAGGCGCATTTTGGGGAGGGCCAGACTTTTGGTTGGCCTGCATGGGACCATAGGTGGTCGAATGAGTCCAAGTCTGGATGAATAAAGTCCTGATGGGCTGGAAAAAGCACCGGACCTACGGCGGTGCGCGTCCACGCTTGGAAATCCTCATGGGCCGGCTAACAGCTCTCAAGATTCACCGATGGGTCGGGAAGTCTGGTTCTGCTCCGGTTCTGGTCCGGTTCGTTGGGTTTCGTGTGGCTTCTCTGCATCTGCTGTGCACTGAAGTCACTGTAACAAGCGCCAAACTTTTTTCTGATCAGATCAAAACTTTCCCTCTAGTTTTTCAGCAGAAGGAAACAGGCTTCTGGGAGGGGCCCTACTGACTTCTGGGAAATGTAGTCATTAAGAGCGGGAATACAGTATAGGCTTAGTGAGAGAAAATTGCAAAATGTCGGCGCCTGTCTGAAGTATTTTATTTTTTCGTAAATTTTTTACTGTACAGTACTGTATCCAATACTGTCCTAATCACGTGAGTAATATTAAAGTGGACAATTGTGTGTTGTACCTTTTTTTATACATTATGGACTGTATGTTCACAAACAGCGATAGAGCGAGTCTGCGAAAGTCGAACTGTGACGTAGCGAAGGACTACTGTATTTGATTTTTTAAAATCACTCACTGCCAAAGGCAGAGCTGTAAAGTTTTTGCCTGTGTGTGTGTGACGTTTGAAAACTATCTAACAAATCACTGAACAAATTTCAGTAAAGCTTTCAGAAAATAATAGACTGTAAATCTACTACTATTAAACTTTTGTTGTTAGCCCTGTTCAAGAACTGACTTTAGTCTGCACAAAAATGTCTACACCTCAGTGAGTTTTACAAATGTGTTCACAAATCATGTTTGATCACGCAGAAAATATTATAACACGTTTATTTTGAAGAACTGACCAAAATAACCAAATCTCTGCCATTTCTTAACAAAATATGTTATTAGTTTAAAACTCTGTCATGAAAGGTGGCAGGCAATATGCATTCCTTCTGGGTATTCCAGGCCTTTTATTGCACTGAGTTTTGGGGCAACATGTGTGACTAATACTGAACATTTGTTAGTTTAAAAAAATAAAATAAACAAGAAGATTTTTACATTACTGGTAAGTAAATTTTAGAAAACATACCGTTATGACATATGGTATATTATACCATATAAACATATAAAGTTTAATATGAAATTATGACATTTAAAACTCTAGTAAACTGAAAAAACTTATTAGTTATGAAGAAGAAATTGTTGCCAAACATTTAACACAAGAGTTTATATTTGGATCCAGATCTAGAACATTAAAAAGACATTAGATTAGAAAAGTTCATTTGCAGAACCAACCTTAAAGCAAATGTTTATACACAAAAGTCTGTGTGCACAGGGTGAAATTATTGAACAATAACTTAAAAATGGATCAATGTAAGAAACTTTGTTAAAATAAATATTTATGTATCCATCCATCCATCCATCCATCCATCCATCCATCCATCCATCCATC